AAGAAAAGCTATGAAGAAAAGTGCTCATTTCTTCCGTGCCCGGCAAAAACGCAGGTTGATGAGAAAAACTGTGAGGGAACAGAAAATACGGCTTTATCTTTGACTGTCCGGGGGGAAAAACAACAGACAGACTGCACAAGCAATTTTCAATGATCACTTAATCGACAAGTAGCAGAACGAGAGGGAAACAAATTACCAAAAAGGATAACAGTGTAAGTTGACAATAAAAACGCTTCATAGTTCGCGACAGTTCACTCCATCGTCTCTTACGGCAGTTAAGAAAAATGGCGATCTAAGAACAGCGTAGTGTCGCACCATAGGACGCGTGTAGTACCGAGTCAGACAGGTCTGCGAAATCTTCAATATGGTCAGGAGGGAGTGTCTCGGGTTGCGGCAGCACACGAAATACTGTCATACGACCAAGCGTTTCTCAAATAGCTTCGCCTTTTCGTGACGGAGGTATTTTCTTTTCAGTGAGAGGACAAAAAGCCGACATTCGGGGCTACAACCCTGCTGGTGAACCATTGGCAGCTCACCTAGGGAAGGATGTGTAGGAACCACGCACACACCTTCCCGGTCGTTGTAGTGGTCACCGGCTTGATTGGGTATCGAGATGTATTGGACACCTTGGACGTTTGACCCCGTCTAAAGGATGTATGATCCGATGAATTAAACACAGGCCCCCAACAGATCACAGTTTTCACACATCGCCGCGCTACCTTGCGGCTTTGGTGCGCCGAAGGCTTCCGTTGTGAATTCCCTAAGAAATTCACCTGCTTTCGTCTGGGCAACATGACAGTCTTGCGCCCACGAGCAAATCATGGACCTGTTTCTTTTTTTATTGTACCGTGATTTGTTTGGTACAGCCAGGATTTAGACGCGTATGAAATACAGGAACGAAATCGTTCCACACTGAGGTTCTCAGTCGAGTACAAGATAGATCCCAAAGATCACATCGGAGACATCCACACTAATAATTGCAAATCAACCCGACACTTAGGGACTTCTAGAACTTTCTCCCCTCCATATGATCATCTGGTTCCTTTCTTTGGATGCCCATCATTCTTGGATCAGTTTTAGAAAACTAATTAATGAATTAGCCGGTAATACCATCAAGGTATTTAGAATGGAAAAAAAGAATGCAGTTAGTTGAGCTGCATTTTGTTCACAATTATGGAGTTATTAATTCGAAAAAGAGAATTATCATTATTTCCACCAGTGAATTGATTTTTTGATTGGTCGAACTGAATGAAGCCCTTAAAACTCAAATGGATAGCACTTTGTGATATTGTTTACTTCGAAGTACAAGGCGGAAACCAAACGCGGTGTGTGTGTGAAGAGATGTTTGTACCGTGTGCACTGTGTGCACTGTGTGTACTTGTGCTTCGATCGTAGTAATCCACTTTGATTTGCGCCATTTTGTTCGGAACTTAACGAAACTGTTAGGGTGTTTTTGGTCGTTTCAACTGTTTGATCAGGTCCACAGAGCAATGGAAGAAAGAGGTGAGCAAGCCTGGTCAAATGGTCGTATTACGTTTCTCGATGTGCGCATACGTAACTCGGGATTTGGAATTACTGAAAACCATCTTGGTCGCCAGCCTGTGCTATTCTCGACGTGTTCTGTGAAACTGCTCATGTGAAATTTTTTTTCTTTATGATAAAACAAATCCATCATGAAGCCACATGGTTACTCAAAAATGTCAGCTTCATAGTTTGTAGTGGTCGGGTTCGCAATTGAACAACACAAGGTAGTTGAGGAAACACGCGCGTCAGGACATTCTTAACAGAAACGGAACTGCTTAGCTTAACCTATAAGTTCCATGCTCCACAGTCCTGACAAATTACTCAATAGAAGCGGAGNGCGGAGTGGGGAGAAAGAGAGAGAGAAACTGGAAATTATTTCACATGAAGGCCTCGCATCCTGGGCGCACTTTTAGAGATTTTTTACCGTCATTGATTGTCCTGTTCTTTCCTGGGGAAGCATACAGATCGAGCACTTTATACTCACCCCCGAATAGACAAGCATAGACCAAGTTAGATTCAAGTAAACAATCATAGGTAAAAAAGAAACGATCACCGATAAATGAGAGAGAGAGAGAGACGTGTACCGAATGTGGCTACCGGGTTGATGGGAGATTTTCAGACAAACTGTCACAACACAGGAAAGAATGACACAGATGGGACTGGGAAAAGAGAACCGAAGGTGACACCAACAGCGAAATACTGTCCGATCAATGATCGAACATGGTTAGGAGAGAAGATCAAGCAATCAACTATGAACCCCCGAAATTGTAGCATTTGTTTGGTAGAACCACAGACAACTTTGCATGGTGGAACAAACAACGATAACAAAGTTTGAATCTAAAAGCACTCTACTCCACAAACTACGTTGACGAACCACAAGCCTGTTGACTTCGAGTTAATTATCCGATGAAATCTGAAGCGTTACTGTGTCGGTGTTGGCTGATTATGTCGTGCTCAATTATGGTATCGGCGTAATCCACTCCACTGATTTGCAATGCGTTCTTTCTGATGCATCATCACCATCACAACCTGATAGCGGGTGAATGCGTGCGTCTTCGCATGAATAAAATGGAATTACTGGTTGCATCATATCTGTGATATTCGATTTTATACCAACGGGACAACAGCATATTGGTTAGGTGTAACGCAACTAGAATGAACGGACAAATGGCAAGGAAGATGAATCCGGTAAAGACAACACTTCAAAGCTGTCACTTCGTGAGACAACAGTACATCACTTGGGGTTTGTTACTGCGGGCTTATATCACAACTTCAACAGATGAGATTTTGCTCTTGGTGTTTGCATACTCTTCTGGATCGGCAACCGATTTTTTTTTTCTAAAGAACACGAACGCAAAAAACATTTCAGGGAGCACATAAACCTAAAGAAAAATCCGAATATTCTATAGATCCCTTGTTCCTATCTAATGAAAATGGCCTATGGGACGGACTCAAAATCGGACTCCATCAGAACCCCCGAAGTATGTTCTTCGGACAGAGACATCTGAATTGACGGCCACATGTTGCGTGCACCTGTGATCGGCATGTTTCAACAGTATAGGCAATGCACTTGTGCATGATAACTTCCGGGAGAGTAAACAGGTGGCCTCGAGTGGAAAAGTGTGTCCATTATTTCGAAATCGGTC